AGAGGGCCCCTCAGACCAGGTCCCCGACAGAGAACACGGATACCTCCCAGGGCGCAACCGGGAAGGTGCTATTATCTGTCAAGAGGCCCTCCACTGGCGCCTTCGTCGTTTAGGTATTTCTTCGGTTGCTTCCAAAGAGGATATGTCTACTGCGTTCGGGTGCACGTCGTTCGAGGCCCTCCAGAGGACAGTCGAGGAGTCGATCACAGAGGAGTCTCAAGTCTATTTCACGCAGAGGCATCATCTCAGCACGTTTATGATACCTGCATCGGACGGGGAGCAAGTATTGCGTAACAGGTGCGGAGCGTTTATGGGGGATACCCCAGCGGCATTTTTTTGCGCGTACCTTCCGCCGAGCAGTGCAGATGTGGTTGGACTCTATGCGGCAGCATTCTTGGGGTCAGCTTCCTCCTCCACCTCGCCCTACGACGTACGATGAATGGATCAGTCACCCACTGGCCCCACCTCATCCTCCCGCTCGAGCTGATGACTTTGTATGGCCGTCCGAGGACCTCTGTGCAGCGTGGTCGCCGTTCATCCATCGCCCTGTGCCGTTGGCTTGTCGGATTTATGCCGACGGTTCTAGTGCTACCCACGTGGTGGCCTCTGCATTGAACGCCCAGCACGTGCTGGACATATCGCACCAAAGGCTCAGAGAGGCTCTAAAGGAGGAAGGAGGGTACGAACATAACGCGGACAAGAGCCAGGTGTCGCCGTCTTTTGTAGGAGCTGGCTCCCGGGTCTACTCCAGGGCCATGTTTACAGGGGAAGTTCCAGTAGCAGGCAAGGTTGTTTTCGACAGTCTTACTTTGGGGATTTCGAGTGCAGTAAATGGTGGGACTCAGGTGGAGATCAGGAGGAGGATTCTCGCGTGTAGACGAGGGTACTATTCCAGGGGACGGTTCTGGGCTCGCAATCGCGTCTGGAAATTTACTCGGACGGTCTTTGGGGCGGTGGTCCAGGGCGGTCTACTTACGGGCTTAACGACGCAGATATTAACGACGACGCAGGAGAGAGCTCTTGATAAGGTTCTCGCGGGCTTCGCACGTAAGATTCTCGGGGGTGACGCCTGCAAGAAGATCCCAGTTCCCGACGCGACTCTAGGCGCCCCGCTGCTAGCACCCGACGGCAGCCCTCAGCTACAGTACAAGGCTGACTCGGACGAGTGTGTCTTTCGTCGCATTGGCATTGCACCATGCGGCACCGAGCTGCGAGTCCGCCGACTTCGGATGCATCGTCGGTGGATTCTTTCTCCCGGGCGGCATGCACAGGAGGTGGCAGCTGTATTTGGGCAACTGCCCGTGGAGGCGTGTCCGACTCCCACGGCAGACGGCACGCTGGCCGAGTCTGCTAATCCATATGCATGGCGCTTCGCAGTCGATGTCATCCGTCTTCTGCGTCGATCTGAGGAAAACGACCTCCTGGACTCCCTGTTCGTGTACGAGGCCCCAACACCAGACCCCCCCAGGCTCAACATACGGGCGCTCTTCGAGGACCCAGAGGTACGAGATCGGCTCCTACGATTGGACCCTAGTGTCCTGCGGGCCGCGGCCAAGACAGTGGCCATACCACCTCCACCTGGCCTCTACGCCCTTGCCCCTGCTCCGGCCGACCTCGACGATCCCGCTCCTCCACCACTACCGTGTCCTTGGGTTTGTGATATTGCCGACAGTGCTGGTCATATGTGTGGATGTGTCTTCAAAACGCGGAGGGCCCTACTGGCTCATCAACGGTTCTCTCGGGCAGGTGGGCATTCGTATCGGTCTATTGTACATTCGATAACTGTGACGAACTCGTGCATTTACTGCCAACAAACGTTCAGAACTCGAAGGATCGCACAGGAACATACGTTGCACGCCGTCCTCAACAGGAAATGCCCGCTAGTCACCGTATATCAGCACCCCTTGGAGGCCCCCATGTCCTTGCAGTGCCCTCTGTCCATCATTGCGACGGCGTCCTTCCGCGGTGGCCATGACGCAGCTTACTATTGCTCAAGGAACGAGCCCTTTGAGTCCTTTGAGGAGTTGCGACGACACCTCGCCACCCACGTTCCAGCTCCGTGCACGGCCGATGTTCAGGCTTACCGAAGAGCACCTCGAGGGAGCGGCCAGGTCACGCTCCGGGGGTCGCGGCGTACCAGGGGTACAGCGGGCGCGAGGGCGTGGCCGCAGTGGGTCGCAAGCGTATTCCCGTCAGCGTGGAGGCCACCCAGGACGTCGAGACTCACAGCCCCCACAGGCAAGACCGCAGCTACTCCAGGCGGCGGAGGCGGCACCAGCAGACGCAGAGCGAGTTCAGGGAGGCCGCCCACGGGACAACGTGCGCAACGATATAGGCAAGCACTACGGGCTAGACCGTTCGACACTCGACCGTCTTCCACAGATGGACGCCCAGCTGACGAACACAAGTTACGCCAAGTTGATGCCTGTCCGCGCCCACAAGTCCTGGTCAAGTTACGGGCAACTGGTCTTCCACAAGTTGATGCCTGTCCTCGCCAGTGCAGTCCTCGGGAACACGTTCCAGCTACGCCAGACCATGGCCGCAGAGTTCCAGACGTTCACAATGCGCAACGACGCCCCAGTGATTCGAGCCGCCTTCCAGGCGGGCAAAGCATATGCTCAGACAGCGGCTACTCTCAGGAAAAAGCACCAGGTCGACCCGCAGACGAACCCTACCCCCCAGGCGGCGATGGGCCCTGCATGTGCGCAGATCTTTCTGATCGCATGTTCCGAGATCTCCAAGGAGGGAGACAAGGTGGGGGCCAAGAATCGGGCGAGCTGGGAGAACCACAAAGCCCGCCTAGATGCGATCACCGACCAGGAGGAGCTCACGATTCTAGTACGAGGATTTCGAGTCAGCTCAGCGCACAGCGAGGGCACAGCCAAGCTCGTGATCTCGCTCGGCGACCCGCAGCTCCAGAAGTGCTTCACCGCCTGCCTCGAACAACTCGGGGCCGAACATAAGGTGGGGATCTCACCAAGCAGCCACGAGAGCGTGATGCAGCTGGCTCTCGGCGAGTTCGAGCAGTGGTAAAGCGTCCCACCAACGCCAGCCCTCGACACCAGCTACCAACTAATGCAGGATGTCGGATCCCCAGCCAGTCTGGATATCGGTCATCCTTAGGGATTGATCAAACTACTACCACTGGGACTGATCTGAGAGACCCTGGGGTGGTGCCTAGTGCAGTATCCGATACTGAGATGTTGACATCTGGCTCGACGCTGGTTGCGAGTGGTATGGCAGCTGAGTTTCGAGACAGCGGCAGAGCTACGATTGCTGGTGGCGCTACGCATGATATGCACGTGAATCTTGGAGAGTTGACAGCGAGTGGTACGGCAGCTGGGTCCAGTGGGAAGAGTGAGAAAGGCGCAGATGGGCAGACTGGGATTGTTTCTTATCGGAGCTCATCGTTGCCGACTTCGGCCTCACGAGGTGAGGCGCCACAGGCTGTCGCTCGTCATCCCAGGACGAGGCCTGCACAGGACAGGCTCCCTGCTTCCTCCGTTCCTGCCCTCCCCTCTCGACAGCAGTTCAAAGACCTTGTCAGGATGTTTACGCGATGATGGCCCGAAGTGGCCCAGTTTTTTCCCGAAGCTTTCTCTGGGCTTTAAGTCGTGGTAGAGCGATTTCACCTCGGGGCTCCCGCCGTGGGGGCCGCTTTCTCGCTGTAAAGCGCACGGTTGGTCGCCAGATTCCGATGTCTCTCGGAAGTCTGGGTAGTTTGAGACTCGAACGCTCGGCCCTTCACCGTTCCGCCGCCGCCGCCTCCTCTTCCTCGTGCTCTTCCCCCGCCTCCTCCTCCTCCTCCTCCTCCTCCTCCTCCTCTTCCTCCTCCTCACAGTCGTATGAGGGCCAGCCACCCTCAAAAGCTGTGTAATCCGACAAGATCATCCTCCTCCTTTTTCTCCTCCTCCTCCTCCTCCTCCTCCTCTTCCGCCTCCTCCTCCTCCTCATCATTATCCTCCTCCTCCTTCTCCTCCGCCTACTCCTCCTCCGCTTTCTGGGTCGCAGCTGACGGGCCCCGGGGACAAGATGAGGCAGCACGCCACGGGTCGTCCTCGGCCCCGCAGGGTCCAGGCTCTTGGTCCGCGCAGGCCCCCGGGATCCTGATCCTCGGGGTCCTCCCGATCTTCGGCCCTCGATTCGGAGCAGGTATCCAGAATCGCTATCCCTGGTTCGTGAGTCTGTCGGCAGGATGTCGAAATTGCCTCCTCCTTCTCCCCCTCCTCCTCCTCCTCCTCCTCCCCCTCCTCCTCTCCCGTCCTCCTCCTCGTCCTCCTCCTCCTCCTACTCCTCCCTCCTCCTCCTCCTCCTCCTCCTCCTCCTCCTCCTCCTCCTCCTCCTCCTCCTCCTCCTCCTCCTCCTCCTCCTCCCCACAGGGCCTCCGAACGTTGGTCGGTGGCAGGGGGCTCGGCCGTCGCAGTGGCAGGCGGTCTGTGATAATGCTCCTTGGGACAGGCCGCACACCAGCACGCGTCTCGTCGACGCTCCAAAGCCGTCGTCCTTAGGCTCCCCCGATAAGAACATGAACAGCAACAGCAACACCAACACCAACAGCTTCATAAGCAACAACACCACCACCACCAACAACAACAACAACAATAGCAGCAGCAACAACCACAACAACCACCCTGTCTTGTTTGTGGTCCTTCATGGGAGCCTCACAGGGTCCCAATGTTCATTTCGGTTTGTGGGGATGTCGTCAAGATTTCGTGGGACGTGGAACGCATCTGGACGACATCTGGACGAAACATGACCGAATGGGTGAAGAGGGGTGGTCCAAGCGTAGACCGAAGCCGCTCGACATAACGTCTATGCCAGGGCCGTGGAGCTCCACGGAGGCCCCCACGAAGGCTCACCCAGCCTCTCCGAAGTTCGACTCAGGTTCGACTCGGGCCGACGGGCGGTCGACGCAGCATCGACGCGGCATCGACGCATGAGTGGTGCCAGTGGCTCCAGACACATCCCCGGAGCGAGCGCCCGACCCTCTCCGCGGCCAGGCGCCCGGCATGCCGGGGCAGGCCCCCATCAGGCACCGCCCGCTGAGCGGCGAGCTCCTCGACAGCGAAGAGGCCCTCGGGTGGGGCGGGGCGAAACCGCCCGGGGCAGAACGTCCGGGCGACCACCTCTCTCGCTCCTTCGCTGGCTCAGTGGACGCAGGATCGCACATAAGAGCCAAAGGAAAACAATCGGGGAGAACGTAAGAGGCGAGTTCGCGGGAGTTCGGGTGGGCCGACGCTGTTTGACGACCCTGTCCTGAAGTTTGACGGTCCAGTGTTCGTGGGATGTCTGCAGCGGGAATTCGCGTCAAATTTCGGATTGGGTCTCGTCACGGTCCTCACGAACCCGTCAGGCCAACCAAATTTCCCGAATCCGAGCCTCACGTCTCCCCAGAAGAAGAAGGGCGAACAGCATATACACATAATGTTGAGGGTCCGATGGTTGTCTTGGATCTGCGCTGGACCCCCTGATTCTACAATGCCGAGCACGAAAGAAAAACAAAGACGACCATAACTTGTTGGAGCTCCGCGCGGATCTCTTTGATCTACACTGGAACCCCCTGGCAGTACCTCTGGCGCCGCCGCATGGCGCGCTCCTCGCGCCAGGGAGGGGCATGCCAGCGCCGATCCAAGACATCTGCGCGAAGCTCCGAACGTTTATTTGCTATTCGTTTTCTCGTTTTCCAGAAGGAGGCCTCCCTGGGGCGCGGGCGCCTACCCCTGTCGGGGGTTGCTACAGGTACCCCTGGCCCAAGGTGCCCCCCACGCTTTGCGCTCCATTTTGGAGCCCCTTTGGGCCCCCGTGGGCCTCGTGGGGGGTGCTCTGGAGGCCGCGGGGGGCTCCTTGGACATCCTGGGGGCACCTTCGGCCAGGGGCACTTCTGGCAGCACCCGGCCCAGGGCGGCTTGACAACGGCACGTCCCCCCGTGGCGCCACACCGGGGCAGGATCACACCCGCCAGCCGCCCCGCGACTGGCGCACGCCCCGCGACGGAGGAGCCCATGCTGTACCGCGCTCCGTTTGCGAATGCATCCCCCTCCAGCCCCGTGTTTTTCCCAACCATCCTGTGGCGTTTGGGCCCTCGTTTTGAAGAGACAGCGCCCCGCGTCTCCCCCACCCAGTACAGCGCTTCTTGGCCCAATAGGGAGCTCCACGAAAGGCGTTACCCACAATTGCTGCACTCACAACTGCATATGGTTGGGTCCTTCGCCAGACTAAGTTTTTGTTTGCAGCGCGGCCCACCATCCACTACAGTCAGCCCGCATAGTATGGATGGGCAACCCTGCCGAGGGTACCCTTGCATCCTTGCCCCGTTGGGCCCATCCTTGGCGACTTTTTTCCGGCCAACCTCGTTCAAAAACGAAAACATGCGCCTCCATGGCCCTTGCATCCTTACCGCGCATCCTCATGTTGCGGATTGACTGTAGCGTTAGGTCGGACATGCTTTCCTACAGGCGGATGTTGGAAGAAAAGTTAGGCCGAATCCAATACGAACCTCACATAATCAAAAGGCACGACAAAATCGCCACCAGACCAAATTTCTACGATTCTTCAACTGTCCTCCTGTAGAGGTGCATGCTCGACTCTGAACACCAGCGGCGTCGGAGTCCCCAGCCCCAGAAGTACTCAGCGAAGATCGGAGAACCTTGGAGGCGAGCCAGGGTCCAGGTGGCCAGGGCAGAGCAGGTAGAGAGGAGAGGCGGAGGAGGGGCAGCTTCGTGGCGAACCCACATTACACTCACGGACTTTGAACATTGGATGCAAAACACCATATGGACTGAATATCGCTTCGTCTTTTCTGACGTATATCAGATATACATATCTATGTGTGTCGGTTGTCTGTCTGTATGTATGTATGTATGTACGTACGTACGTATGTATGTATGTTTGTGCGTGTGTGTAGATACGAATGTATGTGCTCATGTGTATATGTATGCATATATGTACGTATGTATGTGTGTGTATGCATGCATGTATGCATGTATGCATGCATGTATGTATGTGTGTATGTATGTGTGTATGTATGTATGTATGTCTGTATGTCTGTCTGTCTGTCTGTATGTATGTATGTGCGTACGCACGCACGTATGTATGTATATGTGTATGGATGTCCGGTTGCGTGTATGCATGTGTGTATGTATGGATGTGTGTATATATGTATGTTTGGGTGCATGCATGCATGCATGCATGCATGTATGCAGGTATGTATGTATGTATGTATGTATGTATGTATGTATGTATGTATACATATGTATGTATGGATGTATGGATGTATGGATGTATGGATGTGTTTGTATGTTTGTATGTATGTATGTATGTATGTTTGTATGTATGTATGTATGTATGTATGTATGTATGTATGTGTGTCTGTATGCATGTATGCATGCATGCATGTATGCATGTATGTATGTAGGTTTGTATGCATACATGTATGTATGTATGCATGCATGCATGCATGTATATATGTATGTATGTAGGTATGCAGATATGTATGTATGGATGCATACATGTATGTATGTATGTATGTATGTATGTATGTATGTATGTATGTATGTACGTATACATGCATGCATGCATGTCTGTCTGTGTGTCTGTATGTATGTATGCATGCATGCATGCATGTTTGTATACATGTGTATACATGTGTATACGAATGTCTATCTGTATACATACAAGGGGGGGGGGACGACGGCCCCACCACTCGCCGAGCGGCGAACAGCCGTGCAGCTTGCAGCCCAGCATGTCCGAGCCGTGGAACCTTCAGAGTCCGGGCGAAAGCTGGCTGCCGAAACGGAGCTCCAGGAAAGTGTTGCCTTCTGCTAGAAAGCAGCCCGTCCACTATTGAGCTCGCTGAGCTTTATTCCGGGAATGTGTTTTCGTTCTTCCAGGGGGACCGTTTGAGCAGCCACGGATTTGCCAGCCTTCGCCCAGCTTGCAAAACACGGAAGCCAGCAGCGTGCTGCGCCTCCCCCCTGTGCTGCCGGACGATGCGCTGCTTGGCGACGGCCCGTTGCTCACAGCCAGGCTGAAAGCCGCCCCGCGGGGGACGAGGGGCAAGGGGGGGGTGTGGAAGGTCAGGGCCTGACTTTTTCGGGCATGGCTTCATTGCGCGTGCGTCGGGGCACTGCTCTCATGCCTTTTTGCATGCACTCCACTCCTTCAGTACCCCTGTCTGGCCCAGTCGAGTCCCGCGCGGGACAGAACGTGAGCCCGGCACCGCCCAACAACACCTGCATCGACGCGTTGCTGTGACATCGGGCTTGTCCCTCTGCAGGAGGGATGTTCAAAAATAGTCCAAAGAATAGTCAGGGGACGATTTTTGAGCATTCTTGGTGCTTTTACTTTTTCGTTCAAAAGCCGCCTTTAGGGGGGCACGCCCAAGCTAACATTGCTGTCGTCTGCCTTGGCTGGGGCTCCCCGGGCGTTCCTCCGAGGCGCGCTGTGGGGGGCTGCGTGGCTGGACCGGCTCCCAGTCCCCTGGAGCTCCTGGGGTCAGTCAGTGCCGCCGGCTGGGTGTGGCCTCCTCCTCCTCCTCCTCCTCCTCCTCCTCCTCCTCCTCCTCCTCCTCCTCCCCCTCCTCCACGGGGGTGGACAGAACCCCCACCCTGACGCGTCGATTCGTGAATTGTCCGTTCTCGGTTCTCGGTTCTCGAGAGGGCGCCGCGGCCGTTCTTTTCCCAGGCTTGCGCCCGCCAGGTTTGGGCCCGAGGTCGTTTTCACTAAATGACGTGTTGCTAAAGAGGGTTCTGTCCATCCCCGGGTGTCTCCGCCCCGAGCCGGCCCCCCTCTACCCAGGCCCCCGACGTCATGAGTTCTGCCACCCCGTGAATCACTGCATGTCTCGATCCACTCTCCCAGGACCAGTTTGCCAATTCTGAGTTGTTTTCGTTACGGCCCTGGGGCCTAGCGAGGTCCCCCGCAGACTGAAAAACAGCCCAACACTTTGCGTTGTGATGTCGCCATGACCAGCGAGGGGGTCCGGGTACCGCCCCCCTCGGCGGCGAGCCCAGGGGGGAAGTGAGAGAGGCGGACGCCCTCGTGCCTTCTCAGAAGCCGCCTGTGTCTTTGGGGAGGGCTCAGAAGGCTTCGCGGAAGGCTGGATTTCAGTCGGGCCTGTACCTCTACAGCAGAAATATTCGAACATAGTCAATAGAATAATGTGCGGACGATTTTTGTTGTATTAGTTTTGCCCAGTTGGGGGGTCTTGTTTGAATATGTTCCATTTTTCGCCCAAAATCCCCCTGTAGGGGGACACGCCCGACTTAAGGCTGGATGCCTTCTGAGCCAATTGGGTAGCCCCGCCCCCTCTGCCTGCGCCCCTGAGCTCGCCGCCAGTCAGGCCAGGGGTCCCGCTTTATTCTGCCCCTCCTCCAGCTCCTCCTCCTTCTCCTCCTCCTCCTCCTCCTCCTCCCTCTCCTCCTCCTCCCTCTCCTCCTCCTCCCTCTCCTCCTCCTTCTCCTCCAGCTCCTCCTCCTCCAGCTCCTCCTCCTCCTCCTCATCCTCCTCCTTCTCCTCCTCCTCCTCCTCCTCCCGGTCCCCCACCTACGGTGGCCGCGTTGGTTAAGGAATGTGCCCATGAGGCTTCAGACCCTGGAGGATTCTTTGTCTGACGAGGGTGGCGGTGATATCCATGGTCTAGCCTCAGTTGGTATTCCACTGGCTCTCAGACACTAGATTGCTTAGTGGTTATTTCCCTAGTTATTCATTGTTCTGCCGATCGGCGCGGCCCCCCCCCAAAGGGTAGATCTTGGCTGTTTCTTGGCGCCTGTTTCAAGCAGGCGGAGTCTCCCCCATGGGACGCACTGTCGCAAACAGTCGCGCTACGCAGAGCTCCGGAGCCAGACACCCCCGCTCCCCCCCATCCGCCCAATGTCGAAACGCCGAATAAACAAACGTTCGCTCATCCAAGGGTTCCTTGTCCAATGCCGCGTCTGGGAGCGTCCCCCCTCCACTCTTTCGGCAGGAGGGCGCCTGGCTGCCGGACCCCATCGCCCACGAGGGCTCGCGCGCGCGGGGCGGCCGCGAGGCCGAGGAGGTGCCGCCGGGGCGTCGCCGCGGTCGTCCTCCATCTCTCCCCCCCCTCCTCCTACCTCTTTCCTCGACCTTCTTCTCCTCCTCCTCCTCCTCCTCTCCTCCTCTCCTCCTCCTCCTCCTCCTCCTCCTCTCCTCCCTCCTCCTCCTCCTCCTCCTCCTCCTCCTCTCCTCCTCCTCCTCCTCCCCCTCCTCTTCCTCCTCCTCCTCCTCCTTATCCTCGTTCTCCTCCTCCATCTCTCCCCCCTTCTCTTTCCTTCTGCCTCGACCTTCTCCTCCTCCTCCTCCTTCACCTCCTCCTCCCTCCTCCTCCATCTCCCCCCCTCCTCGTTCCTTGTGCCTCGACCTTCCCCCCTCCTCCTCCCCTCCTCCCCTCCTCCTCCTCCTCCTCCTCCTCCTCCTCCCTTTCCGCTCCTCCTCCTCCTCCTCCTCCTCCTTCTACTCCTCCTCCTCCTCCTCCTCCTCCTCCTCCTCCTCCTCCCTCCTCCTCCCCTTTCCTCTCCTCCTCGTCGTCGTCGTTCTCCTCCTCCTCCTCCTCCTCCTCCTCCTCCTCCTCCTCCTCCTCCTCCTCCTCCTTCCGTCCTCCTCCTCCTCCGCCTCCTCCTCTCTTTCCTACCCCGCCCCCAGACAGCCTCGCTGACGTAAGTAGAGGGCGACGGCGTGTCGAGGGTTGACGTTCGAGGAGGGGTTCCATCGCTCTCGGCCTCTGGCGGCTTTTTTGGGGGGTCCCGAGACCGTCCGACTTCGCTGCAAGGGTGAAGAACACGCCAGGATGGGGAGGGGTCAAGAGAATGTCGGCGGCGAGCGACGGGGGGAAGTGAGAAGGAGAAGGCCATCTCAGAAGGCGATAGGGGCCCCTCGGAAGCGCTCCAGCCTTCTCAGAAGTTGTTGTCTGTATCTTCGTGGAAGGCTCATCAGAAACGTCTCAGAAGGCCGGGGGACTTGCGAGCCTTCTGAGAAGGCCGCCACCCTCTCACTTCCCCCTTGGCTCGCAGCCGAGAATGTTTTTTGAGCGGACGGTGATCGAGGTGCTCGTGGATCGATGGGGTGAAGGATTTGCCAGGATGCACCCCGGGTGGGTGCAGACATTGGTTTATATCGAGCAAATTCTGGTGGAGGGGATTGAGGCTCGAGATTTTGGTTTTTTGCGTGTGTGGTTCTGCTCATCTGGGAGGCTTCTCGTCGCCACGGCTCGGTACCCAATGAAAGTTTCAACCAAACACAGCTTTGAACAGGTCCAGTATCGAGGATTGAGGTTTCCATTTGTTTTTGCTGTAGTGCTTTCGGGCTTGTCGGGGGGCTCGTCGCCGCCACGCGTGGATTTTTCTGAAGTCCTGGCCAGCACTTGCTCCGAGATAGGCCCAGGGACTGGTTCGCCAGGGTCGCCATGAAGAACGCGGGGTCGCCATTTTTTGGGGTCGCCGAGGGTCGTCATGGAGGCGGGACCCATGCCCCCTCGCGCGTGAACCACTGACGATGGAAAGTTTTGGCTCGGGGCCCGCGCTGCAAAACTATCACGACGCCGCGGGCCAGCCGGGGGAATCGGCAGGAAAGAAGTTTTACAGTTATTATTTTCGGCTCCGCGGAGCACTTCCCGGGCCCCTGCCAGACGTCGAGAAAACACATGGGACTGAAGAATTGGGTCCAGGGGTTCGTCCTGAGATCCAGGTCCCGTTTCCGTCTGGCTCGTTCCATGGCAGAGACGGGAGCACGTGGGGAGGAGCCATTGTGCAAGAACAGGCAAAGCGAGAGAAGCGAAGCACGTAACCACCGAGGTTTGCCGGTTACGAGGTCGAAGCTGCTGGATCGATTGCCCCCACACCGTAAAGGTCACAATCGTCGGGGGAGCACGCCCCCCCCCTTCGTCGTGTGCGTACGCGTGTGGTGGCGTTCGCAAGTTATTGCAGTGGCCTCACGTTTAGCATGCGATGGTGCTCGCACAGCATCTTGGTGTTCGAGGGCACACTGTGCCGCGCGCAAGCGTATTCTATAGTTCCCGCTGGCATATTTGCGGCGGCGGCGGCTACTACTAGAACTGCGAGTGTTTCCGCAACTACCACGACGACCACAATGACGACTACCCTTGCTGCGACGACGACGACCACGACCACGACGACGACGACGACGACGACGACGACTACTACGCCTACGACTATTACGATTAGCAGTAGTACTCGTACGAGTACTATTATCATTACTACGACGACTACTATTACTATTATTACTACTACTATTACTACTACTACTACTACTACTACTACTAGTACTACTGATACTACGAATGTTTCTTCTTCTACTACTACTACTACTACTACTAAGATTTCGACTACTACAAGTACTACTACTACTGCTACTACTACTACTGCTACTACTAGTAAACGTAGTAGCAGTAGTACTACTCCTACTCCAGCTTCTACTATTACTTTCACTACTACTACTACTACTACTACTACTACTACTACCACTACTACTACTACTACTACTACTACTACTACTACTACTACTTTTACGACGACTACTACTACTACTACTACTACTACGGCTACTACTACTACTACGACTACTACTGCTACTACTACTTCCACTACCACTGCTAGTACTACAACTGCGACTACGCTTACGAGGACAACTACGACTACGACTATTTTCACTACTACGACTACTACTACTACTACTACTACTACTACTACTGCCACTACTACCACTACTACTACTACTACGACTACTACTACTACTACGACTACTACTACTACTACTATTACCGCTACGACTACTACTACTACTACTACTACTACCACTACTACTACTACTACTGCTACGATTACTACTACTACTACTACTACTTCTACTGCTACTACCATTCCTACTTTTACTGCTACTACCACTACCACTACTACTACGACGGCAACTGCTACAACTATTATTATTAGTACGATTACGATTACGACTGCTACTATGAATCTAATTCTATTTTATTGGTACTACTACCTCTAGTACGATGACTTCTACTACTACTGCTCAGACGACTGCTACTACTACTACTACTACTTTTACTACTATTACTACTACTACTACTACTACTACTACTGCTGCTACTACTACTACTACTACTACTACTACTATTTCTATTATTATTACGACTACTACTACTAATACCACGACTCCTACTACTATTTCTATTACTACTACTACTACTACTACTACTACTACTACTACTACTGCTACTAACGACTACTACTACTACGACTACTACTACTACTACTACTACTACTACTACTGCTACTACTACTACTACCATCTCTACGACTGCTACTACTACTAATATTTCGGCGACTACTACGATTACTTCTGATACTATCACAACTAGTATTACTTTTACTAGTACTACGACTACGACAACGACTATGACGATCATTCTGTTTACGACGATGTGGACGACGACGACTATTATTACTACTGCGGTTACTACTTCTACTTACAAGAATGATATTACTATCCCATTGCTTGTGGCCAGTCCCGCCACCGCCTTTGTGTTGTGGGCATGATGTTCGTTGGGGTATCGTGGGAAGCCGTTCGGCGGCCTTTCGGAGGCAGTTTGGAGGCCTTTTGGGTACCGTCTTCGGTCCTCCTGGGGCGCTTTTTGCATCTCTTTGGGGCCTCTTGGGGCCTCTTGGGGCCTCCTGGGCGCCTCTCGGGGCTTCCTTGCGACCTCTTGGGGCGGAAGGCTCGGATTTTCGGCTAGTGTTCCCTCTCTTGAGCCCCTTTTGGGTCCGTCTTTGGTGGGCCGTGTTCGGGCGCTCTTGGGCCGTCTAAGGGCTCTCTTAGAAGCCTCTTGGGCCGTTGTGGGGTGGTTTGGGGGGCCTCTTGGGCCCTGTTGGGGCGCCGGAAAGGTGGAAAAACGCCAAAATCCTCTAAGAGGGAACCCTGTGATGGTTGCCTCTTGGGTCCCTCTTGGGAAGCCTCTTGGAGGCCTCTTGGAGGCCTCTTCGGCCATCTTGAGTCCATCTTAGGCGTCTTGGAGCGATCTTTCGGCGTCTCAGGGCCCTTTGGGACCGTCCTGGGGGCGTCTTGGAGCCCCCTTGGCCCGTCTTCGGGCCCTCTTGGGCTGGAACATGCATGCGAGAACCCTTCCCGGAGTCAGGGGGCACGCGACAAGCCCCGATATTTACGAAATTTAGTCCGGGTCTCATAAATCTCCTCAGGACTGAGGACTGAACAGCGAGGGACTTGAGTTCATGCCCACCCCGTTCCCAGAGGCACGGTGACAGACTATTTGTATTACGACTACGACTACGACTAGGATTATTTGTAATATTGTTTTCGTGCTATCAATCGTGTTATTACAACTACTGCTACTACTACTATTACTACTACTACTACTACTACTACTACGACTACTACTACTACTACAAGTACTACTACTACTACTACTACTACTACTACCACTACTACGACTACTACTACTACGACCACCACCACTACTATTACTACTACTACTACTACTACTACTACTACTACTACTACGACTACTACTACTACGACTACGATTATCAGTATCAGTGCTCCCACTACTGCTACCACTACTACTACTACTACTACTACTACTACTACTACGGAGAGGACAAACTGAGACGACGATTGCTACTACTACTATTACTACTACTGCAAATTTGAGTATTATTAATGCTAATACTATTACTGTTGCTGTTACTTTTACTACTACTACTCCTACTACTACTACTACTACTGCTGCTACTACTATCACTACTACTACTACTACTACTACTACAATTATCACTACTACGATCCCACGATTTGTACAACTATGACTACTATGACTTACTGTTTTGTTACGATTGTTTTCCGTACTCTCCTTCCTACTACTACCACTACTACGGTCACTACTAGTACTACTACTGCGAATCTTGTTAGTACTACTACGATGGTGACGTCTACCACTACTACTACGATTATTTTTACTACTACCACTACTACGACTACTAC